TTAGAATGATGGCCTGATCACGCACATTATCCACTCGCAGACTAACATCATCTAATTCAGATGTTAAGCGCTAAGAAGTGAAAGAAAATGCAAATTGTTAGCCTAGGAAAGGAAAAATTACTGAAAAAAAAAAAAAACCATGCAGCAAATCTGACTTCATTTAGAACCCAGAAGCAACTTGACAGCAACACTTCCTACCTTCACGGTTTCCTCCTTTTTGCTTGCTGACTTTTTCTCAATCTCATCCAGCAAGGCTTCAGCCTGATACAACCAAGTACTTATATGGGCAACATTTTCATCAAAAATTTCCAGCTGGCTCTGATGATTCTGTAAATGATGAAGAAAAGGTAGCAATGTGAGAAACTTAAAACAAACAAACAAACAAAAAAAAAAAACACACACAAATAACCCAACACAAAACCAAAAAACACCCACAGAAAAAACCAACACACCAAAAAAACCCTGCTGAAACCACTATTATGAGTAAAAAGGAGACCATTGGAATAAAGTCTTATGGATGCATCTTGGGAAGGAACACTGAAAATTAGATTGTACCTTTCACCTTCAGTAAGTATTTACAATAATTCAATTTTCATTCTAGATCCTTCAATATTATTGCCCCTGATTTGTAGGAAGGGAAACAGAAATGGCTGAGGTGGTTTGTCCAACCAAATACAGGCAAGTGTATAACAGCAGTATAGCTAAAAAGCAACATCTCGGCAAACAAAAAAAATCAGAAGAATTTATCCTCAAAATCAGATGGAATGTAACACATAGACAAAATAGAAAATCCATTGCTCACAAACCTTTTCATCTTCCCCACTCAACTCCTGATGTTTTTCCACAACTTTTAACATATTCTGTATGTCAGCCTCAAATTTTTCCAGGTCTGGAAAAGCTACTCTGACTTCACGGGGCTCTGACATGCCAGGAAGTCGTTCCTGTCCAACAAGCATCTGCGAAGCAAAATAGAACTTTGTTAAAGCTAAAAATTTAGTCTGAGTTTAATCCAGTTGAAGAAGTCTACCACAAACAGGCACACTAGTTTGTAGGAACATCAGATATCAGCATTAAAAAAAAATTGCAAGAGTTGCTTGATGTAACACTGAGAGTTAGCTTGGACACAAGTTGATAGGTATGACCAAGCTCCTACCTTCAAACTTCAATCTGAGCATTTTGGTCTCAAACCAAACAAAAAAAAAAAACAAAAAGAAAACCAACCAAAAACAGTCACCTTTGTTTATGGTGTTCTGTAGTTCATATAAATATGTAGTGAAATATTTACACTTTTCTAACACAGTTATTTGTAAATTTTCCCTTATAACTCAAGTCATCACCTGCTACTCAGGTAAAAAAAGCAGCTGGTCTAAAATCAGTCTGTCCAGTTTTCCCATATAGGTATCTAGACTTAAGGAGAGAATCGAAAGCAGCGCTGTTCTCACACATAACGATCTATTCCCAAAAGCTATTTGCATCACTTTGGCACAGACTTCCCCTGAGTGTGTTTTGGGACTCACTCATTCTCACCTTGGCACTTTTGATGTGCTGAGAGACCTTCTCAAAGTTGCGTTTCAGCTCAGCCAGTTTGGGTTCAACAAGCTCCCGGCAGGCCACCCCCCGGCCGTTCATTAGAATGATGGCCTGATCACGCACATTATCCACTCGCAGACTAACATCATCTAATTCAGATGTTAAGCGCTAAGAAGTGAAAGAAAATGCAAATTGTTAGCCTAGGAAAGGAAAAATTACTGAAAAAAAAAAAAAACCATGCAGCAAATCTGACTTCATTTAGAACCCAGAAGCAACTTGACAGCAACACTTCCTACCTTCACGGTTTCCTCCTTTTTGCTTGCTGACTTTTTCTCAATCTCATCCAGCAAGGCTTCAGCCTGATACAACCAAGTACTTATATGGGCAACATTTTCATCAAAAATTTCCAGCTGGCTCTGATGATTCTGTAAATGATGAAGAAAAGGTAGCAATGTGAGAAACTTAAAACAAACAAACAAACAAAAAAAAAAAACACACACAAATAACCCAACACAAAACCAAAAAACACCCACAGAAAAAACCAACACACCAAAAAAACCCTGCTGAAACCACTATTATGAGTAAAAAGGAGACCATTGGAATAAAGTCTTATGGATGCATCTTGGGAAGGAACACTGAAAATTAGATTGTACCTTTCACCTTCAGTAAGTATTTACAATAATTCAATTTTCATTCTAGATCCTTCAATATTATTGCCCCTGATTTGTAGGAAGGGAAACAGAAATGGCTGAGGTGGTTTGTCCAACCAAATACAGGCAAGTGTATAACAGCAGTATAGCTAAAAAGCAACATCTCGGCAAACAAAAAAAAACCCACAATGTTTTCAATTATCACTACTATACAAGTAACAGATAGTCCTGGGGCTGTTCATAATAATGAGAGAAAACATGCCCTATCAAAAAAAAAATGACAACTGCGTGAAAAAAAAAAAACCCACAATGTTTTCAATTATCACTAGCAGATACAATAGTACACATTATGTGCAGTTGTTGTTGGGTTGTTTAGTGTTTTCTTGGGGATTTTTTAATTGAAAAAGGATTAAACCAAAACCTACAGAATTAAAATAGTTACGTTTGGATATTTTATTGTTTACATTGAAATATTTCTTCTTCTTAAGACAGCACATTATAGGCGTTAATTAAGTCTGCTTTCATATGTAGTCAGAAATTGTAACATTAGGTGTCACAGACATAAAATGCATTATTCTGTGTGACAAAGCAAAGCTATCAATTCAGAGAAGTTCCATCCTGCTTAAGCACATAGCTTCTTACCCAAAATAAAGTACAGTTTAGATGTGATCTTTCAGACTAAAAAAACAAGAGAGGGGAGAAAGGAGAGAGAAGGCCTATGATTGCTCTATCAGCATCAAGGAACATATTTTCACCTAGTGAACAGAGTCACAAGGGAAACATCACCAGACTAATACAATTTAGAAGGTTTTTAGTTTGGATCATCCTCACAGGATTTACAAACAAGGGTAAACTAGCTGACTGCTCCAACCATGGACATCATCAGATTATGAAACAAACTGTGTGACCTATGCAGGCACTGGACAGGATACAGAGGGCTCACCATCTAGCTATTCACCAGTTTCCACAACTTCAGCCCATATCAGGGGCTTCTGAAGGTGGATTGTCATCACTAGCTGAATAACACTTTATCTGAAAACATCAGTCTAATACTAGCATCAACTGTAGACTGCTTCATGATTGTTTCATTGTGGTTTTAGGCTGTATAATACTCTCAGTCTTCCATTTACTCAGCCAAACAGTCACTGTTGGCCTCAACTCAGAGTTGGCATATTCTTAAACACTGGCACTTACGGGCTGCCCGAAAGAGCAATTAGGCTAACAGAGGGCCCCAAGTGCTTTGCTGAACACCGCTAGGAAGTTATCAGTTGTCCATTAGACAGTTATCATCTCAAGGAAATCTATTGACACAAAACCCCTTTGTTCGTGCTGAAAGCTGAATGAGGTTTCTTTCAGGCTGAACCAAGTGCAGCACATACAGCAGCTTCATGGAAACCAATCTCTTTGGGGTAGTTCCTTTTGTTTTCTATTTATATTAATAAATTTATGACCTTACAGAGAGTTACACAGAAAGCAGAAGATCCAACTGCTGTACTCTAATTAACCCATTACAAAACAAACAACACTTCCAGAACCTGGTGGTTTTTTACCCCTCTCATTTTAATGTGGCAGTTAATGTTACTGTACCAGTTAATGACCAAACTCACTAGCAGTTTTATGAATGCTTGTATGCCCCATAACCCACTCAGTCTATATGCAATTGCAGATGCCCCCTTTCAGGCTAGTTCAGGAAGTTACCCCTATGTGCTAGGGTAGAAAGAATTAGATTAAGACAAGCTGACACAAAAGGCTAGCAATATTGGTGTTGTAAAACAGAAGGTGATAAAATATTACTAAAGAAAATATACAAACAAGGAGCTAAATTTGTAAATAAAGATAAAATATTTAAAATTAAATGTGATGGCAACATCTGGAGGCTTGGGGGGCTGGTGCTGCATGGACATAACGAGATTAAACCAACAGATATGTGAAAGGTGTTCACTAAGAGTATGTTCAATTTTCCACAGAAAAGAAGAATTAGACCACAGAGACTAGGGAGAGTAAAAACAGTTCTATCCCTGACACCTGGAGACAGAGGAAGGCAAAAGAAAAATTTAAACCTACAGTATTATTCTCTACAACTAAGCAGGTTATTCCCACTCAGTCAGGTTAACTGCCTTAGATATTTACATATTTTCATTACAAATCCAGATTCTGCATTTTCATCTCCTGCCCACTGAACAATAGTCACTACTACCAAGTACATGGTACCAATGTCTATCAGTATATCTAAAACACTTGCAATACAGTTTCCCACCTTCCTCATTGTACGTAACCCCATGACACACCTCTTCATCTACAGAGTAGCCAGATACCCATATTCTGCATTCTAAATCCATGAGGCACCAGGAAAGCTTCACATCAGAGAAGTCAGACAAGTAGAAAATTCAACTGCTCCCAGGGTGTGGAGGAAGAACCGTTCCAAATGTTTGACACACATGCAGCTTACCAACAAGGTGTCACACCAGTCCTCTGTCCAGGTTCGAACTCTGCTCCAGCCAGCGTTAAGGACACACAGCTTCTCCTCCAAGGAAGCCTCACTCCCTTCTACCAGAGCCTGGAGTGCAGTGCAGCTTTCTGTAATGCTCTTCAGATCAGCTTTCCTCCTCTCCAGTTCCCTCAGCACATTCTGAAACAAGAGGAGTCATTAACACTACACACTCCTCTCAGGGGCAAGGGAGTCAGATTTTTACCTCCACAGGAAACAAAAAGTATCACAGATTATCTTCACTTGAGCAGAATCAAACCAAGTAGAATCCCCTTCTGTTAAAACTCACTCTCTGTAGATAGTGATCTCCTTTTGAGAGAGAGGGAGGAGAAAGCAAGAGCAAAATGCATGTAAGCATGCCAAATAACTATTCTTGAGACCTTTTTGTTTTGTTGTTTTATAATATATTTACAGTCTGTTTTCATGACATAGATAAAGCAAAAGCATCTCATCACACGACAGGCAATTTTAAAAGTCTCTTTTCTGCACTGTCATGCACCACAGAGAAAGCAATTTTCAAGAAACGCTTTGGATTTCTCTGTATCTTTTCCTATTAAAAGTATTACTACAATTTGCAACAATGAGAAAAGTTGGTTGGTCAAGGCTGGATGTTTTTTCTGAGAACCAGCACTACTCATTACTGCATACATTCAATTCACTTGCTCCATATTACAGAAGCCCTATTTTTACATTACCTATACATAGATAAGTACATATATATCTTTATCTCTAATATTTTTCCCAAGTCATCTCTGACTTTAAATAGATTTTTTAAACCTATGAAAATTTTAAAAAATCATCTTTGAAAGAGT